ATATGACCTTAATCTTTTCTAGAGGTACAATTGTATTCTTCGTTTGAAATTTTATCGATATGTTACATTCTTGGTTGTGGGTGTGAGCTAAGTATAATAAAATAGAAGCACACCCACACCCTACACTGAAGACATTACGAAGTTACAATAAGATGTAGAAATTCTTTTAGAAATTGCTATCGACTTGAAAATTGAATGTTTCTGGTGGAGATTACTTTTCTAGCTGCTGACGAAAATGAGGATAAACGTTTCATTGATCATCAATTTACTGAATTTTCAAATAACCATAAAGCGGTTGCCGTGAAAATTCATCAGTTAGATAACTTTTTCCATTGGCATCAATATGTAAGATAGGGGCAAGAGCAGCAGGTCAGAATTTTCGATAATCTTTCAGTAGTCATAGTAAAATTCCGCTACCATGATAATTCTATCACGCTTATCAAATTATTCTTAAGAAAAGATATCGATTGAATTTTTAAACATATCTATGCTTCATAACACATACTAGTTGAGAAGCCTGGCTGATGACGTTATTATATTTATTCCCAAACTTGAAAACGGTAGTCCATGGTGAATTTCTCATTTTATATGAGTTCTTTTAGATAGTGTCATTTTGAAAATTTGAAAAAAGATACTTTGAACGGGTATAATTTTGGTATTGAATCCTCAAGTTCAGTGACTCATGAATTGTTGATGATAAGATATGTTTAAGTCGAGAAACTAAAAAAGAAAACTTCCAAAGAAATACATTAATGCATATATAGATAATATCAACATAGCGTAAGTGTCGAAAATGAAAAGTTCTATCCGTAATGATAATATCTATTTTTTCAACAGTTGGCAAATAATCATTCATAATTTTAATTAACTCTCCAAGTTTAGATGATCTAGAAGTTCTTAGTCTGCCAAAGACTCTTTTTATGATTGACAATGATTCAAGTTTTTGTGACGAAAAATGACAATCATTTAATACGATACGTTTTGTGTTTGGAAAAAGAGTGAATAAGCATTTTTGGGCATATTTCACATTTACTGCATCTAAACGCATATTTGTTACCTTGTTAAAAACTACAGTAATTTCATTAAGCATGTCTTCAGTCAACAGGACACCCTGTGTGTAGAATAGAATGGATTTTAAACTCGGCGTCTCCATACTCAATGTTTTCATAAAATATAAATTGAACATCCATGATATAGGTAACGCAATCGATGTAATATTACACTATAGTGCAGAGTAAATTTGAAGAATTTTGGATTCGTTCAATTGTTCATTATTCGAGTGATGGAAAACGTAGAGATGATCGAAACGAAATGGTGATGTGTATAACTAGATTCTATTTGCTTCAATTAACCAATCATGATCAAACCCAAATTGAGTTCTATATGTTGATAAAGTATTTTCAACGTTGACTGAAGATGTATGTATATCTAGGTAAAACTTAAACTGTTTTAGTCGTATCATCGACTCCAATAAGTACTCTTGAAGAAAAGTACCAGTGAATATTAAATCAGGCTGCACAATCATCAGATGCATCAAATCTATTGATAAACATATTAATGATGGTGCACAATTGCTTTATGAATCTCATTTTGCTTATTATAAAATTGAATATAAAAAGATGCTAACGTTAAACGAAGTTTTTTTCAACTAAATATCAGATAAATTTAGTTCTTCGCCAATTAAGGAATGTCCCAATAAATTTAAATTTGGCGTAATTACATCTCAATATATAAATTACATATTTTAAATGTTCCCCATATAACGATAATGAATGAATATTATAATTCATAGTTAAGCCTGAAATTCCTTCGTTATAACGAAATTGCCGTTCTCCTGAAAGATACTCAAAAATTTGCAATTAATTTTTATTATTAAATGTTTTTCTAAGTAAAGTTTGTTCGACTTCATCATCAGGAAAAAACGGTAGGTATTGTTAGGTCTAGTAATGTTTTATAGTTCAAAGCAAAGGAATAAGTGACAATGATGGATTTCAAATTTGGAAATAAATCCGATGGAAAGTGTAGTTTTCCAAAAATTTAAGTTTGTAATTTAATCGTCGATTGAAATAAAAAAATATATAATCAATCAAACCGTGACAATGGTTCATTGTTGCTTATTTTCTCAGACGTTTTATTCTCTCTCAACGTTTTAACAGTAGTAATTCTTGAGTCATTCCCTAACTCTATCCTACATTGATGCTAAGTCATTTCGTATTTTAGAACACTATGAAAGAATAGTTAGGAAACATATTAGCTATAGCTTGAAGTTGACTCATAAACCTCGGGTTTAAATCGATCATCTGGATCATTTCTAAGAATAAATTTGATAGTAATTATATTTAATCAATAAAATATTTTATTTCCTTAAATAATTATTTACGAACAACACAAAAAACAGCGTTACAATTAAGCTCGGATTCAAGATAAAGATCAATTCATTTGTATTTCAGGATAAATAGATGACGGATTTCTTCGAAATCGTCGAAACTTCTGTTCATAGAATGAACGAAGTTCACTTTTATAATTTTTCGATGGTAATACAAATACAACGAATGTCATCATTGATGGTATAAATGAAGCAAAATAACCAATAAGAAAAATCCAAGGTTCATGCGCTGATTTCATGCATTGTTTACTGAGTGATATAATAAAACGAGGCAAACTTAACAAGATTAACATGCAAGGTGCATACAAAAGATGTTGGTGACGATAAATTTGCCGTTGAAAATGATCTTGGTATGATTGTTGTGGATAAATATTCAAACGGCGACGAGCTATTTTCTTAATCAAAATCAATGTTGTTACGAGATTAATTGGCCATGGAACAAGAAAATGAAAGAGATTTATAAATGAATTGTAAATTTGAGATGAATATGAATATTTAGTTAAACGCCAAATTCTTCGTTCATCTTCGTCGATATCATCAATTAACTGCCGATGAATAGGGTCATGAATTTGTGTAATAATTGTGACGATAAATACACTTGAAATTATTGATTTTGATAGTTTTCTGCTTTTTTGTTTATTAAAAAGAGTGCCAACAATGACACTCACCATTCTTTCAATAGCCACACATGTATTTAGTCACTCACTTGATGCTAAAAAAAACTTTGAAAAGAAAATCTAGCGACA